GAAAATTTCCATGAACTTTTTGAAGCTCCCTCGTATCATACAACTTTTACCAATTTTTGCATATATACAATTTCTTGATAGTAATTATATTTCTCAGCTGTGCAACCCTACTCATTGTGGTTGTTAAGTGCTGTTCAATTGGTTCTGACCCATAGCTGCTAACAGAAAGGTGGGTGGTTCAAACTCAGCAGCCACTCCATGGGAGAAAGTTTATTTCCTAGGAAACCCTATGGGGCAGCTCTATTATGGTCTATAAAGTCACTATGAGTCAGAAATAACACTATGACACTGGGCTTATTTGTTTGTTTCTTACTGATTTGAGTACCAATTCATTGTATGTATGTATATACCACCTGTTACTTATCCATTATCTTGATAGGCATTTAAGTATCACTGCTTTTCATAAGGTTTTCAGTGGCTAACCATCCAGAAGTGGTCTGTCTCTCCTTCCTGATCTGTATTAGTCTGGAAGCTCTGCTGAAACCTTTCTGCCATGGACAACCTTTCTGCATGGACAACCAGTGGCACAGCTTCCAGCATCACAGAAACACACAAGCCACCACAGGACAACAAACTGATAAGTGGTTGTTACATTGTTGTTAAGTGCTGTCGAGTTGATTCTGACCCATAGCTACTCTGTACAGGGTTTCTGAGGAGCAGGTGGTGGGTCTGAACCACTGAACCTGTGGATCACAGTCCAGTACTGTTCCTACAGCACCACACCACAAGTCCCGCACATGCCCTCACCTAACAAAAAAAAAAACAAAAAAAAACCTGGCAGATTTATAGAGACTAAAGTTTACTAGTGGTTACCAGGGTGGCAATGTGGGTTAGGTACTGGCTGCTAACTTCAAGGTTGACAGTTTATATCCACTATGATAGAAAGATGATGCTGTCTGTTCCCGTAAAGATTTATAGTGTCAGAAACTCTATACAACATCGCTATGAGTGAGCACTGAAGGCCTTTACTCATCTAGGCCTAGAAATTTGGAATTCAGTTAGCTACCTGGCCAACATGCTTGCTTGCTGAACGTGAAGAGGACGTAAAATATTTACTGATGAAGATCAAAGAGCACAGCCTTCAGTATGGATTGCATCTCAATGTAAAGAAAACAAAAATCCTCACCAATGGACCAATAAACAACATTCTTATCAATGGAGAAAAGATTGAAGTTGTCAAGGACTTCACTCTTCTTGGATCAACTATCAACACTCATGGAAGTAGCAGTCAAAAAATCAAATAATGTATTATAT